AGAACTCACTCACTACCCCCCTCTTCCCCAGGGAGAACATTAATCCATTCATGAGGGATCTGCCCCCATGACTCAATCAGTTTCCAACACTGCCACATGGGGGATCAAATTTCCACACGAGTTTTGGAGGGGACAACACATCCAGACTCGATCACTCAGCTAGGGCTGTGTGAACCAGGATGGCCTCACGTGCACGGCTGGCGTTGGTGCTGCTGTCAACTCCACGTGGTCACTCCAGAGGGTGGCCAGACCTCTTCCCGGGGCTCAGGCTCCCAAGAATGTGACGTAAAGCTGCAAAGCCTCCCAAGTCCCAGGCTGTGGCATTCATACTATGTCACTTACATGACACCACATGTTATTGGTCAAAAGTCAGCCCAGCGTCAAATGTGGGAGCAAACTTAACTGCCATTTATTGACGAGGTGAATTATAAAGATTCTGTGGCCATTTTTATTCCCTCGTAAAGGGATTAAACAAAATCCCGTCTGTGAAATGCCTGGTAGTGTGTCTGGCAAAAAACATTTTTTCAAAATGTTTATTGTTTTTGTTCTTATTGTCATTATTCATTTTCTCCTGAATAAAAAGCACTTCCCTGGGTAAGGAGGTAAGTGAGTTCTTCTTTAGATAACTGAAAATTGGTCAAAATATGTATGACAAAAGAAAAAACTCACATAGTGTTCTTTGAACTGGTATTAAACCTGAACACACATATTGTGCAAAAATTTGGGGTGCTTCAGAGAAAATCTTTGGTTGAAATGTGATTAATTTGGCATACCTAGACTAAGGACAAGGCAAAAGAAAAATTTTAATGGTATAAAATTTTTAAAGTGTCCCACTCACAAAGTTCTGAAGACTTATAAAGTGTTACCCCGGACTTCCAGTCAAGATGGCAGAATAGACGGTCCCCAGTGTCACTCTTTCCCACAAATCAACTAATTTACAACTATTAAAAAGCAACATCAGCCAAGCTGGGGCCACTGGAGCTCAGGGGAAGAGGAGGAGAGATTTATGGAGTGTGTGAAGGTGGGAGAAGCCATGATGAGGAAAAGAAAAAACAACTCGAACCATTTTGAGCCCCGGCTGTGTCCAGACTGGAGCTGCTGAGCGCACAGAGCAGGAGCTGGCAGAAGCCACAGCTGTGCCCTTTGCATGAAGTTGCTTGGAGGCAGAAGGGGAGAAGAGGGCCTTGGTGGCCCCAGGCCAGCAGGACCACTAACAGGGTTCTCATGAACCCACATAGGTGCAAGAGGCCACAACAACTGAACAAAAGGAGCCACTCAGAGGCTGGTGAGTCATTGCAAGGGACCAGAGCATGCCCCATCCCATGGGAAGTGTTTGCAGCATGAGTGGTGGGGGCGACAGGCCACCAGGAGAACACTGGGGCACAGCAAGGACAGCTGATCTGCCCCCCAGTCAGCACAGGACCACTCAGTGGAGACTGTTCAGGAATATAGAACTGCAGGGGGTGCAGTTTGCTGAAAAGAGTCAGGCCCAGACCAGTGTTTCTACACAACCCAGGTGCATTGGATTTCAATAAACCTGGAAGTCCTATAAAGCCAACCATTAAAACCTGAGGTGCACAAAAAGCCTTCCCCAGGGAATCAGCAGCAAAGCAGCAATGTAGCTCAACCACAGGGCTCAAGTGCTGGTCCCCACAGGAAGTTCCTCCACTTTAGAAGTAAGTAAAGGACAAAAAATTAGTTCCAGCACAGAGTTTAAGTGGTGGGAGCTGCAAATAATGCAACACAGAACTGAAAGTAAAAACAGAGTACCCATAACCAGAGACAAAGTTTGATGTTAACTAGTAAATGTCTCATTTCACCAAAAAACACCTATAAGACCTAGAAGGACTGGAAGTCCCCTGAGCTACCAAGCCAGCAAGGGGGACAACCAGGCACACTGCCAGCACCACAGGGCCTGCTGGTGGCCCTGAGGTATGGAGTCAGAGATTGGACCCTCTGCCCACAACCAGGCACACCACCATTGCCACCACCAACTAGGTAAGGGGCATGCCAAAAACATCACCTCCATGTGGGTGGCCCATCACAGCCATCACAATAGCCACAGCTACCATGAAAGCAGCTAGCTGCCACAACCACCACGCAGATGGTCCACCAGCCACTGGAGTGCATTGATACCAGGAGAGTCACTAGCAGAGACTAAAGAAAAGAAAGGATGTCTCTCTCCACGAAGCCCATTCCAGAGTGACGGAAGCATCTGCTCTATGACAATATTGGGGGACCTGATCACACCTCTCAGCAATGGACAGATCATATAGGCAACAAATCAACAGAGTAACCATTATTCTTTCAGAAGGAGAGAAGAAATCTAGGGTAATTAGAGGGGGGAGGGGGAGGTAAAGGGGGATGGGGAGAGACTGGAAAAGGGGCATAAAGAATAAGTACAATTTGTAACAATATATATGCTAGTAATATTGATTTGATCAACACATGTCAACATTGAACCCAAAAAATATGTATAATCAATTATGATTCAATAAAAATTTTTAAAAATAAAATAAATAAAAATACTCAAGGCCTGGACGAGGCAAAAAAAAAAAAAAAAAAAAAAGGTTT